CTCCCAGGTGTTCTTGTCACTCCATCGCGCATGCCACTTTTCAAGCGAGAAGCTGCTGTCATCGTTCGTGTACTGTCTCTTCTGCTTCTCCTCGCTGATGTCTTTGTAGCAGCGCCCGGCAGCTGTCGCAAGCTTGTTGACTGAGATGTAGACAGTCTGGGCATTCGTGCGAGCCCACTTGGCTGCACTGCGCTGGTGTGAGGTTGGACTCGAGAGCGTGAAAAAAGCGAAAAAGCGGTCATCGTCAGAGCCAAACTCATCAGTGTACACTTTGTACACCCTCTCGAGTCGGTTGACTTTGGCCCGCTTCTGCTTCCAGATCTCGTGGTTCAGAGCTCTGTGGCGCTTCTCTTCATTGCCATAGAGCTTGCGATAGGCCTCCACAGTGCCATTCTTTGAGAGGTCGATCGCGTGCCGAAGGTCATCGATGTGGTCAAGCGCCTCAACACTCTGAGAGCAACTCTCCAGAATGGATGCTGAGGCTGACAGCAAGGACACAGATGTGGAGGCGGGGGTAGGAGGCAGGTGCTGCATCGAGGTCGAAGGCGTAGGAGCAGGCGAGTGGCCGATGAAGCTTTGAGACCTGATTGAATGAGACAAGGGCAACGACGACGAAGGCAGCGACAGCGGTGCAGCGGCTGGAGACAGCGACAACCAGGTGGTGGGGCTAAAAAGTGTCGGCAGATGTGCAGGCACATAGTGAGAAGGGGCCTGCACCACAGGCAGGGCAGCGAACGACGACGCAGGTGGAGCAGCAGCGCTGAACGCGGGCAGCACAGTGCCGTGCCCTTGAAGGGCACTGAAGCTCATGCCTGGCCCGAAGCCACCAAGGTGAGCCTCGTGTGGGTCTACCAGAGGGGTCCAGTGTCAGCAGTGAGCACACAAGAGAGAGCGAGAGAGAGAGAGAGAGCAGACGACGTACTGATTGGCACAGGTTTGATCAGCCGAAAGCTGTCACCTTCGATCCTCCATTGTTCAGCCAGCTCGATCAGGTGCTCCCACTGCCTGTCGCAAACCTTCTGGTTCACGGCAGACTCAGGACCCTCGGTGAGGTCTGACGAGGGCTGCGCAGCATCAGGTGGTGGCGCATCGAGATCAATGCTGTAGTGTTCGGCCAGCTTCGCTCGCAGCTCGTTGATGGTGCCTGTCCTGGACAGGTACGTCTTGCTCTTGTAGTTCGTGACACCAGCTGCCTCATTGGCAGCAATGATCCAGCTCTTGAGCACCTCGCCCTTGGCACTCTTGAGGCTCTGAGCCGTGATGTGGCTCGGTGGGGCCGGCATCTTGCTCACCGGCAGCAAAAAGCTAGGGAAAAAGAGCCAGAAACTCGGTCAGCAAACAGCCAAACAGGTGCCGGAGGCAAAGGAGGCAAAGGAGGACGCACCTCGGGGCTCTCTCGACGTCCTCCGGGTGTCACCGGGGGTGCGCGGCGCGCGGGAGAGCGGACAGGGGCGCGGAAAGGGCGGGAGGGCACCTCAAACAGGGCTGCGCGCGCGTTCTCGGCGGCGGTCGGGCGCGTTTTCACACGGAAAGCGGTCGGCTCGGTCGCTGGGAGGTCCCGCGAGGTCTCTGGGGCGGCGCGCCAGGTGGAGGTGCGAAGGGAACCGCAGGGGCGACGACCCGCCCCGGTCGATCACCTCGCGCAGCCAAGCAGCGGCGCCCAACCGCCCAGGCCACTTGGGGCAGCGCCGCAGTGACCATGATGGCGCCACGAAGGGTCACGGCGCGCCCGATCACGTCCCACAAACGGCCGCGCGACGTGACGGTGACCGCGGTGACTCTCGGCGACGTCGGCAGCGCTGGGCCGAGGGTGACGTGGCCGGCGCTCGAGGTGTCGCAGGGGCGCGGGGGAGGGCCGCTTACGTGACGTGATCGGGTGTCTCAAGACACCCGATCACAGGCGCCCCCACGTCCGTCCGGTATCCCGTCAAGGAGAAGCCCCATCAGCTCCATCAAGTGCCACCAAGCTGCTACCTGGCTATCTGGCTCCCTACATCAATTTCGCTTTTTGGGGCTATTCTTGGCTCAATTCCTCCCCTCCCCTTTGTCCAATGAACTCCAAACCTTCTGAAATATGTACCTGTACCTATGTAGAGTAGTTATGTGCAGTTTAGAGTGAATATAACTGCTGTATAATATACTATACTTTTGTTTCTATTAAAAATCGATTTCTTTGGGCCTGAAAGTAGCAGGAAACCCTTTGCAAAGCTCCTACAGCTCTTCTAATGTTATACAATTATGATAGATGGCACTAGAATCCTTCCCAAGGGTGTGGGGAGCCTGAGGCATCCACAAACTCTCTGTAGAGCCTGCGAGGCTTGGCAAATAAAATGACACATATCAGATGTTTTCATATGCTGAAAGGTGTCACTTTTAGCCCAGGATAAGATGGCTATGGTTTATTCTCGATCCCAGGCCTTGGAAGCCGTCCGATTAAGCAGATCTTAGTGTTTTCTACGGGCGCCTATTCGCTGATCTCGTCGAAAACACCTCCTACTGGCTCAACCACTTAGAATCGAACGAGCGGACAATTTCAAATCGATTCCCAGCCTATCAAAACGGGGGTATACAGCTTTATAGGTTCAGGGAACATGTATTGGTGGAGCAGTGCATCAGTTAACCCCGGAGTGACACCTAGATCAAGTTCTGACCAGCTCAAAACC